GCACTGGTGCTTCTGGCACAGGACAGCAGGGTGGCAGCAGGCCAGTCTGGTCTCTGCATGGCAGGCTTGGTCCATGCGGCAGGCTCAGTTCAGGTGGCACGCTCGGTCTATGCATCACAATACATTTTTTTAATTTCTTGGCTACTGCTAACATTCATGTTGATTGTGGATTCAAGTGAAGTGAAATCCTTTTTCAACTTCAGTCTTTTGTCCATCAAGATGTCGCCCTTTGGTCCATTGATAAAGAGGTGGTTTTTTTTCTTGATGTTAAGATGCAATCCATATTTAAGGCTGTATGTAGTCTCTGATCTTCTGTATAAATGCTTCAGACCTTCTTTATATTCTTCAAGCAAGGTGGTGTCATCTGCATAATGCAGGTTGTTGATGAGTCTTCTACCAATCTTGGTAGTTCAACTTCTTGAATAATTTGCTCAGCATACAGAGTGAATAGGTATAGAGAAAGGATGTAATCTGACACACAAGTTTCCTGAATTTACACTATTTAGTGTTCCCTTGTTCTGTTTGGACAGTTGTTTCTCTATGCATGAGTTTCAAGAATACAGGTGTTCATGGATGTCCATTCTATTCAGAGTTACTCATAAGTTGTTATGACCTACATGGACAAATAACTTTGCGTAGTCAGTTAAACATCTCCATGGAACTTCCAGAAATTGAAACCGTATTCAGAAGAGTCTGTGAAACAAGGGATATCATTGCTGATGTTATACGGATCATGACTGAAAGCAGAATATCAGAGAGAATATTTTGTTTAACAGTGGAATGAGACTTCACATTTTCCTCCTGTAGCAGGGCTGGTGCTTTTGTACCACTGACCTTTTGGTTAGCAGGCAGACATGTTTGTTGCATGTCATGGCACCAGACTGTGTGTGTTACTTCAGCAGTGGAGGACAATGAGCACTAAACCTAAAGGATCCTTTCCTCTCAGCGGGCCTATCAGAGCTGCGAAACCATTTTCAAAAGGATTAAACTGGTTGTAGGGAGCCACTCTGCAGAAGAAAGCTCAAGAATTTGGCAAGGTAAAAATCTGTGTGTCTGGTTGCACAGCTGGGCTTCAAACATTCAGGATAATACAACCCAAAAGGAGAAGAACTCTTAAAACATCCAGAAGTAACAGAAAGAATGAAAGAGAGAGAGAGAGAGAGTTTTAATTCATTGAACAGTAAAATTAGTTTAAATGTTTGTTTCATGGAATTTTGTAATAAATTTATTTTATATATTCAAGAAAGACAGTATGTTAAGGCTCAAATCAAACTTCCACAGATGAGAAATACAATCAGGGATAAAAAAATCACTAAAATGGATCAGCCACAGAGTAGATGCTGAAGGAGAATTTATTGCTTTAGAAACAAAGCAGTAGAAAAGTCAGTCCCTGGAATCCATTGAAAGAGACTGATAATCTTCTGGAACAACTTGATGTGGCCTAATAGTTTTGCACCTGGAGTTCTCGAGTGAGAGGGGGCAGACCAGAAAATATCTGAAGAAATGATGATAAATTTGACAAGAGCTATAAACTCACAAAAGTCAAGAATATCAAGGAACTTCAAACAGAAGAACCTAAAGAAAGTTTTGCCAAGACATCAAATTGCTTAAAGTCAATGATTTTAAAAAAGCAGACTTGGAACATTTACTAAGATATAACATAACCAGTCAGAAAAATCAGTCTCAACAAGTGTAAAAGTATTCATGCCACATAAATATGTTCTCTGAACATAATGGAATAAATCAATAGTAGTAATAGCAAGATAGAAAAATCTTGAAAGTTAAGCTATGTAAAAATGAATACTTTCCTAAATAATCCTGTCAAAGAAGATAATGAGAAATAAAAAGTATTTTGGAGAAATTAAAAATATATTGCAGCACTACAACAAGATAAAGGTAAACAACCCAATTGAAAAATGGGCATAGGGTATGAACAGACACTACACCAAAGAAGGCATTCAGATGGTGAACAAACACATGAAGTTGTGGTGTTGTTGTTATGCGCTGTCAAGTCGCTTGCGACTCATAGTGACCCTATGTACAACAGCCCTAGACCCTGCTCTGTCCTGTGCCAATTTCACTGTCTCAATCTCAAACACACCCACCCCGATCCACTTCATAGAGAGTCTTCCCCTCTCCAAGGACTGGTCCCTTCTTGCAGTATGTCCAAAGCATGTCAGATGAAGCCCCAGAATCCTTGCCTCCAAGGAGCAACCAGTTTAACCCTCTCCAGAATGAACCTGTTTGTTTTCTTAGCAGTCCACGGTACCCTCAATACTCTTCTCTAGCACCACAGCTCAAAGACATCAATTTTCCTTCTATCCTCATAGTCATTGTCCAACTATCTGATGCATAACAACTGATTGCAAAGACCATGGCCTGTATCCGGTGCACCTTGTCTCCAGAGTGACACCATTGCTCTTCAGTACTTTGGAGAGGTCCCTAACAGCAGACTTTCCATGGCAATACATCTTTTAATTTTCTGGCTGCTGGTACCAAGAGTGTTGACTGTGGAGCCAAGCAAACTAAAGCTGTGAACAATCTCAATCTCTTCACCATCCATCCTGATGCTGCCAATTGGTCCAGTGGTGAGAATCTTTGTCTTCTTGATATTGAGCCTCAATCCATATTGTAGGCTGCAGTCCTTGACCCTCTGCAGCAAGTGCTTCAGGTCCTCAGTTTCAGCAAGCAGGAAATGTTCAAAATCCCTAGCTCTAAGAGAGATGCAAATCAAAACAACTATGGGGTATCATCTAACGTCGGTAAGAATAGCAAAATTTATCAGAACAGCAAACAACAAATGCTGACAATGTTGTGGAGAAACTGGAACACTTATTCATTGTTGGTGGAAGTATAAACTGGTGCAACCATTACGGAGGGCAGTATAGCACTTTCTCAAAAAGTTGGAAATAGAAATATCATTTGACCCAGCAATTCCACTATTGGGAATATACCCTAAAGAAACTAGAACTGACACTCAAGCAGATATCAGAACATCCATGTTTATTGCTGCTTTGTTCACAATAGCAAAGAGTTGAAAACAGCCCAAGTGCCTATCAACAAACGAATGGATAGAACAGCTGTGGAATATTCACACAATGAAATACTATGCTGCATTTAAAAACAAGAAACTCATAAAATATTATAAAAAATGGGTGACCCTGGATGACATTATGCTGAGTGAAATATCTCAGTCACAAAAGGACAAATACTGCAGAGTGCCACTGTTGTAAAGTGGGTCTGACATTGGGGTTGGGGGGAACCTAAGAGGGGATAAATAATGTATACTGCATTGAAACAGGTGGGGGAGATAATGGTTTAAGAGGAATATATGATTAAGTATTATTGCCATGACAAGAGTCCAGAATGAAAGCTACATAGTGGAGTGGACTGGGGAGCGAAGGGGATTGTACAACAATGAAAGATTTATTTTTTTATTTTTTTTTTACTTTTCAAAGAGAAAAGCGAACTGGGAGGGGAGGGGTGGACAGGGAGTAAAGTGTGAAACAATGAATGAATGGAAATCCAAAATTTCTGTCAACTTTAATTAAAATTTTTAAAAAGCCCAAACAAAGGAAAAAATACATTGCAAAAGTGAATGAAGCTGTACAACACTCAGATTATAAGTTACATCACTAAACAGAAAGTTTTAAAATCCGTAATATCAACCCCCATCTCCAGGAAGTCTAAAAAGAACAAATTAAGCCTAACGTGAACTTAGAAAGGAAGTAATAGAAACAAGAATGAAGAGAAGTTAAATAGTAAACTTAATAGAGAAAATAGTGGCATCAAAAGAAAAAAAAAACAAACCCCAAACAAGCAGAGATTGAGGACCTCAGTATCACCAAAAAAGATGGGAAGTGGAGCACACCCTTTGTTCTCAAGATTCCTACAACCTTCTGGATCCAGGAATACATCGATACAAGACACAACAGTCTGAGGAATGCCAGGCCCACAGATGGAGAAAGGAAATGGAGCCCATCCTCCAGGATGGACGCAGAGAAAATCCTCCTTCTAAAATAACATCCTAAAGGTGGACTTCCGGCTGAGCTGTGAGGATACATGTCTGCTTGATAAAGCCTTATATTTGCACAAAACACCTATGACCTTAGATCACTGTCATTGTCCCAGGTCTGGTCCCTCTTGATGATATGTCCAAAGCATGTGAGACAAAGTCTTGCCATCTTCACATCCAAGGAGTATTCTGACTGAATTCTTCCAAGGTAGATTTGTTCGATCTTTTCACAGTCTATGGTATTTCCAATATCCCATTCAAAGACATCAAATTTCTCTCTTCATTCTTTACTATCCAACTTTAATGTACAAATGAGGTGATTGAAAATTCCATGACTTGGGTCAGGAACACCTGAGAACTAAGGTTCTCAAAGGGACATCTTTGTTTTTTAACAATTGAAAGAAATCTTTTGTAGTGCATTTACCCAATGAAGCATGTTACTTGATTCCTTGATTTTTACAGCTACAATTGATTGTGGATCCAAGTAAATGACCACCTGTCTTCTTTTATTATGAACTTGATTACTGGTCAGGTTGTGAGGATTTCCTATTTTGTGTGGTTTTTATGTACCTACTTCATGTTTCCAAGTTCACCAACCCTTCTATATTTCTGTTTTCTGATCTGTAATGCAGGAATGATAGAGCAGAGGGATTGTTGATAGCACATGAAGCTCCTGGAAGAAGCTACTAGATGCAATATTTTAATTTCAATAAGTCCCCATCTAGACCCTAGTACTTACTGAAAAAATAAATATTTCTGTACACACCCACACAACCTAGAGTAGTATTTTACTAGGTGTTGTGAATATCTGATGGCAGCTGATCTTGCATGGATTCAGATTATGGAAAGCTAGTCATCCCTGAGATGTAGCAACCCCAATACATCTTCTGTCTGGTACTCTGACCTAACATATTCTAACCCCTGTGTGGCCTTAGTCCCATGGCGTCAAGTGCTTTAACTTGAGGAGCTCTCCTTTCTCTCTCAGTATGCACAGATCTTGAAGGAGAGACTAAGAGACTCGATACATGATGTGCAGTACGTGGAGCCTCCGTTTGATGACTCAATTGCTGACATAGGCAAGGATTGGAAGAGTGCCTTAGTGAAACTAAAGTTTGGCAATTCCTACAGGATGGAACCCTTGAAGAAATTCCAAGCTCATACAGTAGAAATTAAAGTTCAACAGATACTAACGGTAGGCTGATATTTTCTAAAATGTATAATAGCAGTGTTTTGGTGTGGGCATTGGGTCAAACCTATTAAGATTTATGTAGTACAATTGCCCCTCTCCTTTTATTTTTGGTAGTATCTGTCTATAAAACAGAACAGAGCAGGGAAACACTGCCAGGTTCAGGATTAGGAAAGGTATGTGTCTGGGTTGCATTCTATACCTTTTTTTTTTACCTTTTCAATCTATATGCAGAACAGATCCTTTGAGAGGCTAAACTTTATGAGGAGGAATGTCAGGATTGGAGGAAGACTCATCAACAGCGTGTGTTACACAGATAACACAGCCTTCCTTGCTGAAACTGAGGAGGACCTGAGGTATTTGCTGCAGAAGGTCAAGGACTGTGGTTTTTTATATGGAATAAACCTCAACACCAATGTGGACTGAAGAAAACAGATTCTCACCACTGGGACAATTGGCAGATTCATGATAGATGGAGAAGAGATTGAGATTGTTAACAGATAACTTTAGCTTGCTTGGTTCCACAATCACATTCTTGGCACCAGCAGTCAGGAAATCAAAAGATTAATTGTATTGGAAAAATCTGCTGTCAAGAACCTCCGTAGAGTCCTGAAGAACAGTGATGTCAGCCTGGAGACTAAAGTGCACCTGATCCAGTCCTCTCAGTTACTTGCTATGCATCAGAGAGTTTGACAGTGACTAAGGATGACAGAAGAAGAATCAATGTCTTTGGGTTGTGGTGCTGGAGAGGATTGCTGAAAATACTATGGACTGCCAAGAAAACAAATCTGTCTTGGAGAGAGTGAAACCAAGTTTCTCCTTGGAGGCTAGGCTTCTTTTGTTGTTGTTGCTATTGCTATTTTCCCCCTACTAGTTTATTTACAAAATTAGAATAAATTGTTTTCAAGAACAAATTTTTTCAATTTCCCTCACCCCCCCATTAAATTCTACAACCCCATGATTAATCCCCCCCTCCCCTGCACACCCTCATCCCTCTGCTTGCAACCTCTTCCACTTCTCTTGGATTCTTATACGCATTCTACAATAATGGTTTTATATAATATTTATCCTTGTGGGACTGAGTTCACTCAGGAAGCTAGTATTTTGAAGCTCCATCTCACATACTTTGGGCATGTGGCCAGTAGGGACCAATTCTTTGAGAAGGATACCGTGCTTGGAAGGGTAGAGGGACAATGAAGGAAAGGAAGACCCAGGATGAGATGGATTGACTCAGTGACTAGGGAAATGGGATTAGGTCTGTCAGAGACAATGAGATTGGCTCAGGATAGGTCAGGGTTCAGCGCTACTGTAGATAGGATTGCTATGAGTTTCAGGTGACCTGATGGTACCTGACAACAAGAAGATCTGTGAAAATCTCAGAGTACATTGCCATTATGCAATTACCTCACTAATTCTGTGAACTAGTTTACATGAAATTTACTTTTATTCTTTTATTTTCTTAATTATAAGGAATAAATCCCTGAAGCCTATGTTTCTTCCATATATGGAGGAATGAGTTAAAAACCAAATATTGAATAGAATAACTGTAAAATATTAGTTCCTAGCTACAATAAAATCTTAAAATAAGAAGTCCTCAGTTTATCCTTAAATTGATTTCTTCTTTAAATTGCCTAAACTCATACCACCATTCATCAGTGAGATTGTCATACTGGGGTGTTTTATGTGATGCTGGAAGCTGTGGCAAAATGTTTTAAAATACCAGTAGGGTCATCCATAGAGGACAGGTTTCAGCAGGACTCTTAGGCTGAAATAGCTTATGTAGGAACCAAGACTGGCTATTCACTTTTGAAATAACTGTTTTTTTGAAAACCCTAAAAACAGTGAAATTGTGTGATACAGTGTTGAAAGATAAACACTGCAGGTTGGAAGACACTCCATTTTAATAATGTGGACAAAGGAAAGCTTTTGATCAGGGAAGGACCTTCATTTGCTGATGTGTCGAGACTGAAAAGGAGAAACAGGTGCATTGTTGTTAGGCAATCCTATGAACAAAAGGTCTGAAACGTAACCTATCTGATATCATTCTCATGATCTCTGTTCTGTGCAAGTCATTGTTAAAGTCACAGTGCTAGTCCATCTTGTTGTAAGTCTTCCTGGTTTTTGCTATTCTTCTAACTTTTCCAGCATGATTTTGCCTCCAAGACTGGTCCCTCCTGACAACATTCCCAAAGTATGTGAAATCAGCGTTCACCACCCTTGCCTTTAAGGAGCACTCTGGTTGCACTTCCTCCAAGACAGTTTATCTTTACACCGTCCTTGGGGTGTTCTGTCCTCTCTGACAACTTCACATTCAATATCACAAGTTCTTCTTCAGTCTTCTTTATTCATTGTCCAACTTTCAGATACATACAAAGCAATTGTTACAGTCACTCTGTCCATCTCATTGCCGGTCTTCCTCTCTTTCACTGACCCTCCACTTTTTCAAGAATGATGTCTTTTTTTCTCCCAAGGGCTGATCATTCCTAATAACATGCCCAAAATATATGAGATGACATTTCACCATCTTTACCTCTGAGGAACATCCTGGTTGCACTTTTTCCAAGGCATATTTTTGACAGTTCGTGTTCTTTTGAACAGTTCAGTGATATTTTGACAGTTCAGTGTTCTTTTTCAACACAACAATACAAAGGCACATTGATTCTTCTGCTGTCATTCTTACTCATTATCCAACTTATGGATGGCTAACAAGTATTTGAAAAGACCGTGGCTTGACTCAGGTACACCTTAGTCATTAACATGATTGCTCCATAACACACAGAGAAGTCCTTGTCAGCAGACTTTCCCTATACAACAAGTCTTTTGATTTATTGACTTCCAGTAGTCAACACAGTTAGGTGCTATCAAGTAGACTATGACTTATAGCGACCCTCTGAACAAAAAGTTGAAACCTAGCTAGATCCTGTCTGCCACTCTCAAGTCCATTCTTGCAGTCACTGTGTCACTCTATCTCACTGAGAATCTTTTTATCTCCTTCTTTGACTCTTTACTTTCCCAAGCATGGTGTCCTTTCCCAAGAACCAGCCTCTCCTGATATTACGCTCCAAGTGTATGAGATGAAGTCTCACCATTCTTGCCTCTGTGGAGCACCTTGGGTGCACTTCTTCCAAGACCTATTTGTTCTTTTGTCAGTCCATCCTCACTTCTTGCTGTTGACTCAGAACAGACTCATACGTGACCCTCCGTATGATTTCCAAGACTATAAATAACATAAGAGGAGATTGTCCATCTTTCTCCCTTGGAGATCCTGGCGGATTCAAACTGTCAGAGAGGTATGGCCTTTGAGCAGGACAACTCCCTATGGACTGTTGCTGTGTACCATAAGAGTCGGAACCAACCTATTGCTGACCCTCCAGCAGGTTTTCAGAGGTAGTTAATCGCACGGAAGGAGAGTGCCCATGCTATGGACTACACCATCAAGATTCCCTGATACATTTCGTATTCTTCACCAACAGCTCAATTCAGAGTTCTTCAGTCTTCTTTAGTTATTGTCCAAACTTCACACGCATATTAAGTAACTAAAAATACTATGACTTGAGAAATCTTACAGAAAACAATTAAAATATTATGGTCATGACAGGAGTCCAGAATGAAGGCTGCATAATGGAGTGTACTCGGGGGTGGGGGTGGCGGAATTGTATACCAATGAAAGAATCTTTCTTTTACTTTTCAAAGAGAAGAACAAACTTGGGGGGGAGGGGTGGGCAGGGAGAAAAATGAAACAATGAATGAATGGAAATACAAAATCTCTGTAAACATTCATTAAAATTAATAAAACAAAATTTTTAAAAAAGAATGGTTGGTGGGGGGAAGCAGCTGGAGTGTTTTATTCACTGAGAGCTTCCAGAAATTCAAGCCCAGTTCAGAAGACGTCATGGAATTTCATTCTGAATTGAGCTGAAAGGAGAGAATACCAGAAAGATACGGACTTGTGTTTTATTGACAGTGCATAAGATTAGACTTTTTAAATCATAACAAATTATGGATAGCATTGAGTTGTTGTTAGATGCTGAGACAAGTATGACTCCTATGAACAACAGGCCTGAACCCTGTCTTAATCCTATGCCATCCTCACAATTTCTGACACATTCAAACCTTTTGCTGTACTCACTGTGTCAATCCACCTGGTTGTGGGTCTTCTTCTCTTTCACCATCCCCCAAATATGTACTCCCAAGTATGATGTCCTCCAAGGACTAGCCTTTCCTAGCAACATGCCCTAAGTATGTGAGACAAAACTTTGTCATTCTGGCCTCCAAGGAGCACTTTGACTACACCTGCTTCAAAACATATCTACTTGTTCTTCTGGCAGTTGATAGGCTTCTCTAATTCTTCTTCTCTAATTCTAAAACTCAAAGGCATCAATTCTTCTGACATCCTTAGTCATTATCATTGAAAGTTGCTATGCAGCTGCCTTTTTAAAATCTCAACTCTTTGTATATGTGTGTTTCATACTCTTCTTCATTCACATTATGTTTCATATAATTATTCACATGAATTATGTTTTATAAAATTAATAGTCATTGGACCTAGCCCTCATTACACCTCTTTTCACCCATATCCTTCCCATATTCTTCTCCTCCTCATTCTATCCACCAAACTGTGCAACCCTGTAGTTTCACCCCTACCCATTCTCATCCATCCACTCCATCCTTCCCCCCTAGAGCTCCTATGAATGTTTTACTAGTTATTCTGTGTTTTCATTTTTAAGCAGCACAGCAAGTGATGAAAAGATCATGGTCTGAACAAAGTGCACTTTAGTACTCAAACTATTATCATTAATCCTCTGTAATTTGGAGGTGTCTGGCTGCAGACTTTGTCAATGCTTTATATCTCTTCATCTTTTGATCCTGACTGCTGGTACCAAGGGTACTGATTGTGGATGCATGTAAGATGAAATAATTGACAGTTTCAATATTTTCTCCATCTATTATGATGTCACCTACTAGTCCAGTGGTGAGAAATTTTGTTTTCTTGATATTGAGAAGCA